CACGCACGCTTTCAAGCTTAGGTGAATAGCCCTAAAAAGAAATTGACATGTATAAAAAGCATAATGCATTTTAACTTGAAGATCTAGTGAGATTCATACTAATTAAAATAAAAAAAGCATGCCTTTGGACAGGTTATGTCAAATATATTTTTAACATATCTGTCTGCTTCTCTAACATAATATAATCACATTTTAGACAATCTTAAAGAGAAAAGGTAATTTCTTTCTAAAAAAATAATAGCTTAAAACTTGGCTCTTTTCTAGCTTAGAAAATTATTTTTTTTATAATAACAGAGAAAGTATTAAGCTATTTTGCTTTGGTATACTTTTTATCATTATTATTATTATGGACAATTTCTGTTTATTGTTATAAAGAGTGCAAAATATAGATCTATACCATCGAAAGCATCCACAATGATATATTAGGACACTAAAGCAAACAGATATGGGTTAAAAACATGTTGGTCTACAACAAGTTAGGTTACTAAGTAGTGTCATTCTGTAGAAAATCAGTATTATCTTCAAAATACCCTTGAAAATAACCTATATTCAACTGATGGGTAAAAGCGTTGGACTTCCCAGTAGTTTATCTTTATGCAGACCAGGTGGCGTTGCCTTGGTAAAACACGACACTCTGTAGTTGACTCTGGTTTCACATCGGGAGACTTTCCTGAGTCCATTGGGCAAGCATGTGCCCATGATCAGGGCCTGGCTGAGGCTGGGGAGCAGGTCATGGAATCAAGAGCCTGTCGGGGGTGTTGTCTCTCTCTCACACATGAGGAGGAAATAAACAAACTTGAAAAAAGTTATCTTGTTATGAAAATCAAGTAATATCACAAAGAAAAGCTAAATGAATGTACTAGTCAACAATCTGCAGGGTGATAATACAGTAGATGTACCAAGTGACATGCAGATTCATTAAAATCCACTCAAACACTGCAGGCAAACTACCAAAAAGGATCAGATGTCAACTATTTTTACCAAAAAAAAAAAAAAAAAACAGTAATAGCTTAACAGCTTGGTTATTTTAGCAGGAGTCTCTGTGGCCTATTTCATTTCTGTCACGAATTACTCTGCCATCGAAGTGCCACAGTAGTGCAGTCCTGGACCACAGAGCAAGCGAGGGCGGCCATGTTCCAATGCAGCAATGTTGACTTACGGACACTAAAGTTCGGATTCCCTAACGTTTTCACATTAAGCATATCTTTCTTCTTTTGATTTCTCCATTTAAAATGGGGCCGGCTCTCTGGTGCAGCAGTCGTCCACTGCTCATGACAACCTGGATCCTCACGGTGACCTCACTTCACCAGCTTGTCAGCCTGGCACACACTGGGAGCACACGAAGGGCCCACAATCTGATGGGCCGGAGAATGGAGAAGGCAACATGACAAGACCCTGTAAAGGGGGCTCCTCTCTCTCTCTCTCTTCCTCTCTCACATGCATGTGTACTTACTGTACCATAAAGAAAAATTTTATTAAAAAATTTTAAATAAATAAATAACATGTGAAACTCAGCCTTAGCCCTGGGCCATGTGAAGACTAGGCTGTGGGCCATATTTGGTCAGCAGGTTATATAAAGTTTGCTAACTCCTGCCTTAGGATAGGTAATTCCAATGGCTGCCTTAAAACATTAAAAACCATGACAAGGAGTAAATGTTATCACCTAAAATAGATGCAAGGATCTGCTGTCTGACAGTAACTTGTGTAGGCACAACAAACAAGGGTGTTAAACATCACAGAGAATAGTCAATGAAACATTCTAAAACCCTCAAGTTTCAATACTTTAATATGATATGCAAAAGTAACTGTAACCAATTCAAACTCTTTTTCCGTTGTAGCTCTTATCCTAACACAGTTTCTCCCAGAAAGATAAAAAATAAAAACCTCAATTCACCCCACATCCTTCTTTGCATGTATTCTAATAGTGAACACGATTTGCTCTTTTAAAAAGCCCAAGTTGCTTCCTGTTTTTTGTTTTGTTTTATTTTTAGTTTTTGCTATAGGGCATGTATGCTCACTAAAGAGGGACAGAGACAGAGAGAAAGAGAAGGAAAGTGAGAAGTCAGGCTCTGAAGGGATGGACATGCCACAATCCCTTCTCCTCCAGTCTTCTCTCAGGATTTTGGGAATGCATGCACATGCACCTGGTATTATTTTCAAGCTGCTAGATCCAGGACTTTAACCATACAGCCAGCCATGTGGGATCCAGTACCTTAAACTCCACATCACCTGCTGGCCCACAGTAGTCCCCTCTTTACTGACAGGTGACAGTTCCGAGACACCCTAAAGGTGCCTAACACTGCAGATAATACCAAACTCTATCCTGTACATACTGCATTTTTTCTTATCTGATACCTGAGATGACTACTACGGGCATGCTGCATATACAGCACGGATACGCAGGGCAGAGGGGTGGTTCACGTCCTGAGTGGAAGGGAGCAGGATGATACCAACTTCATCATGCTATCCAGAATAGAGCTCAATCTAAAACTTACGAACCGTTTATTTCTAGAACTTTCTGCTTAATATTTTTGGACGCCAGCTACCACAAATAGCTGAAACTATGGAAAGCAAAACCATAGAAAAGGGGAGACTACTATAATCTAGCAGGTGGTGAACTAAAGGATAAGCATTCTAAATCTGGAAATCCCAAATCCAGAATGCTCCAAAACCAGACGTATCTGACCACTGCTATGATGCCATGAAGCAAGAATTTCACACCTGACCTCATGTGATGGGTTACAGTCAAAGGTTGCATACGAGAAAATTGTTCAGACCCAGTACAGTGGTGAAAGTGGGAGAAAGCTATGAACAGCAGCCAAGGCCGCATGGGAAAATGGATCTAAACAGCTGAGGTGCAGGAACACACTCCTATGGTCCTACTTACCGGGAGCTGGCACAGGAATGATGGCTATGTGGCCATATCCTGTCACATACACCTTTCTCCCTGTCTCAGTAAACAAAAAAACTGTGTGTGTGTGTACACATATATACAGAGAGAGAGAGAAAAAAAATATATATATACATATACATATATTATATATAATTACCTTCAGGCTATATATGAAACATAAATTTGAATTCATGCTTAGACTTGGGTCCTATCTGCAGGATCTACATTATATATATGTAAATATTCAAAAATCCAAAGTCTGAAATATTTCTGGTTCTAAGCATTTTCAATAAGGGATATTGAAACTGTATTTGGTTTAGATACAGTAGTTTTTTTGTGTGTGTGAGAGGTTTTTGCTATAGGGCGCGTGTGCTCGCCAGACAGACAGAGAGAGACAGAGAGGCAGAAAGCGAGAAATCATCCCCCAGGGGGGATGGCCATGCCACAATCCCTTCTCCTCCATTCTCCTCTTGGGATCTTGGGCACGCATGCACATGCACCCAGGGTGAGTTTTAAGCCACAGAGTCCGGGACTCGAACCGCAGCCAACTACATGGGAGTCCAGCAACATAGCCATTATGCTAACTGCTGGTCCCTAGATACAATAGTTTTATAAATAAGATATAATTTTTTTTTAAAATTATGGTGTTTAAACACTTACAGATTATTTAAATTTGTTTGTCCTATGAGAAAAAGAGAGAGACAGAAAGAAACAGAGAGAGAGAAGCACCTAACAAGGGTTTCACACCATGATCCACCCCCATTTCTGCCAGCCCAGATATCGTCATGCACCTGCCCCTTACATAGGGAGGTACCGAGCTACTAACCCAGGATCTGACTGTGTTTCCGCAGCATTACTGCCATGCTCCCACCTGGCCAGGATACAATACTAACTTGTGTTTCCGATCAGTGAGTTTAGAATTTATAAATCTCCTCACCTTAAGGAAAAGATCCAATTCCAGCTGGGTTTCATCTGTATAAATGAGGTAACATCTGACAGCATTACTCCATAGAGAAGGTGAAAACAAAGGAGTCACTTGTAATAAACTAGCCACAGCGATATCCCAGTCATCTGAAAATAAAATTTCCCACAAGTTCATGAAAAAGTTGCCAGAACACATTGAAGAAGGTGATTTCTTAAGTCTAAAAAATATAACAGGCATCAAAGAATAGAATCTGAGCTCCTATACTAAAACTCACCAAGATTTTATAATAACAATTAGTTATCTAACTTCATATTCTATCTTGAGACTTGAACCAATGATCGTCACTAGCAGTCTTCCCCAGGTATGGTCTCGGTCAAATGTCATGAATCTATTTTACATGAGTTGTTCAGTTACTGCTTAAGGGGAACCTATATTCCCAGGCTATAATTTATATATAATTTATCTCCTTATTATTCTTAAAATACAGAGTCAAGAAGAAGGTTCAAGAATGGAATAAAATTGGGCTGGCCCCATAGCCTAGCAATTGGGAGAGCCAGGTCCCACATGCAGTTCGAATCCCGTCCCTGGCACCTTGGAAGATACTCCAGGAGTGTGTACCTGCATGTCCCAAATCCCAATGGGATAAAGAAATGCAGACAGAATTGCAGCAAAACCACAACCCATTGGGGGGTGTTTGCTCCTTTTCTCTGTATGTCTCTCTGTCTCTCTCTGGCAAGTGCACACACCCTCTGGCAATTAAAAGAGAAAAAAAAATGACATAAAATGAAAACTAATCTTATGCTATTTAGTAAGAATGAACATTTTAAGACATTTAAACTAATTCAAAAATAGAGACCAGCAGTTGGTGTAATGGCAATGCAGCTGGACTCCCATGTAGTCAACCATGGTTCGAGTACCAGACCCGGTGGCTTAAACTCATGCCAGGTGCATGTGCGTGAGTGCCCAAGATCCTGAGAGGAGAGTGGAGCAGAAGGGATTGCGGCGTGGCCAAAGCCCCTGGGGGGCGATTTCTCGCTTTCTCTCTGTCTCTCTCTGTCTTTCTGGTGAGCACATGTGCCCTATAGCAAAAAAAGTCTCAAAAAAAAAAAAAGAAAAGAAAAGATCAAAAATTCAAAAATTACTTTCATTTTGTTAATAGGTAAATAATTTATAGTTTTATGAAAAGAGCAGAGTTACCTATAACTTCTTAGGTCTGTACTGATATTGAAATTCTGAACATCCCTTAGACCAGATTACATAAAAACAATGAACATATTCTCTCAATTAAGAATACTGCATTACCTAACAGAGCTTTTGTATTTTGCTCCATAACCGGCTCTAACCTTCAACACCATTAGAAGGAGAGATAAAGACTAAAACCTGCTGTTAGTGGGTTATTTTACATCAGATCCCTGCTGCTCAACTGAAACACTTGAGAATTCAGAGGAGACACTGGAAGTTCGGTGGCCAGACTGGCTAGAGCACTATCTGATCCCGAATGAATGACATAACCCCATCACCCCAGTTATAGCACCAATACATGATGGTTTGCCAATGGAAGGCATCCAGAACACAAATTTCATGCTGTGCTGATGGTTTCAGCACAATGTTACAGAACACAAGCAGTCATGACCACTGGGAAGTAAATGGCAAACGGCCTGTGTTACCTCTGTTGACATTTGCAAAGGGTCCTTCCACATCTATAGAGCTATGAGCAAACTCGGGGCCTCTGAAGGACTGCTGAAGCTGCATCATACTCCCGATGGAGGGCTCACTCCCCAAAGCTCCACTGGTCCAATACTCACACTGAGTTCCAGCAGCTGTTAAAGCAAAAGATTTTTATTTGTGAAAACCAAACCACTCAGATGTTCAAAAACGCATCATATATAGTAGACAGGATTTCTAACTTGAAAAAAAAAATACTATAACATCATAGATATTCAAACAATGATTTTAAAGTATTTTGCCACTTTGGGGAAAGTTCTAAAGTTCTATTAAAATAATTCTACCATCTTAGATTTTAAAAAAGATTAAAAAGAGAAAGGTGAGGTCTGGATGATGGTGAAAAGAAATGATGCAATTTTACTCTGTAATGCTGGTCCTACAAATAAAAATCCCACGTTCACACCTGAGGCTTCCATGACCATGCCAGGTATAGACATGTGTGGCTATGATCCAGGCTGGCAGGCTGGATATGAACTGCAGTCAAAGACCCCATTGGGGGGTACTTGTTTTTTGTTTTCTCTCTGTCTCTGTTTGGCTTTATTTGTAAAAGAAAGAAAGAAAGAAAGAAATTTTTTTTTTAATGGAGAAAGATGAAAATCCAATAAATAAATGAATTATAATAAGAGGGCAATTAAAAGTACCCCACAAAACAATTCTAAAAACCATCTCTAACCTTATAGCTTGGGTATAAATCAAAACATGAATGAAAGAACTTCAAAGGCAGACTGTTAGCAGCACACTAGTAATTAATATTTGTAATTCATGAGAACGTATGCTCTTCGCAGGAGAATTTCATCCTTCTTTTTTTTTTTTTGGAGAGTTTTTTTTTGTTATAGGGTGCATGCACTTGCCAGAAAGAGAGAGACGAAGAGGCAGAAAGTGAGAAATCAGCCCCCCAGGGGGATGGCCATGCCGCAATCCCTTCTTTCCATTCTCCTCTCGGGATCTTGGGCACACACGCACATGCACCCGTCATGAGTTTAAGCCAACAGGTCAGGGACTTGAACCGTGGTCAGCTACTTGGGAGTCCAGTGACACAGCCATTACGTCAACTGCTGGTCCCACATCCTTCTTAACCTCCTAAGCAACAACATTAAAGTCTCGATTGCTTCTTATGAGCCTGTTGTTGATTTTCTAATACATTATATGTTCCAGAGTATCCATATGACTAACTAAAAATAAACTACTACTTGGGATAAATTTCTCGTAAAACTGAGCTTACTATTTGTAGGTCTTTGAATCTTAAATGGATGGCATTCCCTCCTTCATGATTAAATCAAAATATAAAGAAGAAAGACTTAGAAGGGAATATCAAGTTGTTTTTGGTGACTTGCCAAGATAATCACAATAGTTTTGAAACACTGTACTTCAGAACATGTCAGTACAGAAATAATCACTGAGACTATTATGGGGTAGACAGCATTTTCTCAGTTGCTTTTGGCCAGTAAGAATTACTTCATGTTTTTCTCAAAATTTAGTAATGAAAGCCTCAGGATGCTGGCCTGATTCCAATAGTACTAAGATAAAAATTATGAAGGAATTATCAGTTATTATATTTTACTCTAAAATGCATTAGTTTGTAGGAATATAATTACAATTTCTTACAAATGTAAAATGACTGAATTCTTCTACTGCATTTTCTTTTTTCAGTATCGGCCATACTTTATTAATATTTTCTTAGAACACAGTGAACCCTTTCATTCTGTAATTTTAGGCTTTATCTCTAGAAAAACATTTTATATGTTTAATTATAAAACAAAAACAATTAGAATAGCTCACAAAACTACATTGCAAGCCACTTAGTGAAATATAATGAAGTTATTCTAAATGATAGTTGTGAAAATATATCATTATATGAAAGAATAATACAGAGACTACTAAATCCAATATCCCTTTTCCTCCTTTTAGTAACTCCACATTCAAGTTAGACACGTTTGCTTGGTTGTTCATTACACTTTCCAAACTTCCTAAGTATGTATGTTTGGCCAATGGGATTTGAACAAAAGTGATCAATGTATCTTTTAGGTGATGTCTTCAAGGAAAGGAAGGTGTTCTCCCCTTTCTCCATCCCATTGGCTAAAGTCTGGTTCCCACTATAGGACTTAAAGCAGCTGTTTTAGACCATAAAGAGAAAAGCTATGGAGTAGAGCTGGCTGACCCACAGATAAAAGAAACCTCAGTCCCTGAATTCTATACTTTACAGAGAAGAGGTGCCCTACCAGCTAAGAAAAAAAGAGAGTGTAAATCTGTTTTTAACAGCAGTCAGAGCAAATATAGATAAGTAAAATAAACAGAATAAGATTCTATTGATATTCTGTAATATCATTATGGATATGCTGAAAGCTCAAAATGTTATAAATAGGACATAAATTTACCAGTAATATCTGTACAGTTGTCATCAGAATCAGACTCCCCAGGATCAAATACTTGGATCCCCTGAGCCTGTAGTCTCTGAAGTTTGCTCTCCAACTCTCGCTTGGCCCTCAATAAGTCCTGGATTTCATTCTCTTTGGTCTCTCTAAAAATCTTTAAAAAGAATAATTTAAATTTTAAGATCTTTTTCAAAATCAAAAAGTTGTATCATCAACTTTTAGGGAAAACAATTTTCATTCATAAAACCAATATTCATTTGGTTCTTGATGTCTTTTATATGATGAATATCCTGGTCCTTTTACCTTAACTGTTTTGTAAGTGGATCCCACTAGAATTCCAGTAAGATGTGTGTCTCTGGTGAGGGACTATCACATGCAATGCGTGCTGTTTTGCAAATGTGTCTCCTTTCCACTGAATACCATAATATCCTCCCTGAGACATCCCTGAACATTTTCAAATGTTTTCCTTCATATAAAAACTTTTCTGTTTTTTTGTTTTGTTTTCTTTTGTTTCAGAGCATGTGTGCTTGCCCAAGAGAGACAGAGTGAGGGAAAGTGAGAAATCACTCCCCAGGAGGGATGGCCAGATTGCAAGCCCTTCTCCTCCACTCTCTTCATGAGATTTTGGGCATGCACGCATGTGTGCCTGGTGCTATTTTCAAGCCACCAGGTCCAGGATTCAAATCATGGCTGGCCATGTGGGAATCTGGTACTTTAACCACTAAGCCACCTGCTGGTCCCAACTTACCTTTTTAACTTCCCACTAAAATGCTCACTTTTACACTTCCTTTTTGAAACTATCTCAAGTTTACCATATCTAACTAAAAATGTAAAAAGTGTTCTCTAGTTCTTACAACTTTCATGAATCTTACCTGGTTTACTTCTATGTATTCATCACATTATAATATGAACTTTTAAAATACACTGGTTTTATTCCTTGTCACTTTGAGGGTAAAGAAACTGTCAGAAATTTACCTTGAATTGTCTTTTAACTTTATCTCTGTCACGTTCAAATGTAGCTGCTCTCTCCATTGCTTGGTATTTTGCTTCTAGAGCACTTTCTTTTTCCCGAAGTATCTTCTGATAAGTTTTTTGAAGTGCCTGAAATAATTCACCTTATTATTTCCTAATAAAAATAGTCACATTGTTAAAATTTTAGAACTTTAACAATCTACTTACTATTTTACCATGATCAAGAACTGCCTGTTGCCATTTTAATCAAACACATAATGAAAAAAATTGCAACTTAGCAAATGAAGACACTTCAACATTAAGCTTCTAGTGGAAATGAATACTTCTTGTTGGAAATACTTCATCAACTCTTAAACTTCCCTAAACCTCAGCTTTCCATCTTTAAGAGAATAATCAGTGTAATTTCCAAGGTTTAACGTGAAGGAGAGTTAATTCCGGATGACCATGCACACTCTAGCACTATGAGTGTACTCATCTTACTATCCCATCCTATCCTATCCTATCCTGAGCCATTCACGGTGCCTGAAGCACTGCAGGCCTCCAAGAAATACCTGAATGTAAGAATGGATGAAATATGGAAGCAATTTTTTTTTTTCACATTTAGAAATGTGAACAAGAAACTGAATGGATGACGTACAGAATCGAGATTGGAAGAGGAGTAACCTGGGGCCGACAGCTCTGCCATGTTCGGTGTGGACTCCATCTCTACCTGCCTCTCATAGTCATTTCCCACTGCAATGCCCACTGTGCAGCGCCCTGGCCACTGAAACCTGGTACCCCAAATGCACTTTATATATACAAGTACATTATGGCTACAGTAGGAAAACCGTTTATTGGGGGTGGGGAGTGGTAATAGCAGAAAAAATGCCCAAGAACTCAGGCCTCCTGGAAGTCTCTCACACCGTAGAGTGTGAACAATGACAAAACAGCCACCAGAGGGGCCTCAGGCTTACAGCACAGTCTCAGAACTTTTCTCATAGAAAAGCAATCCATTGTTTTACATAGTATTTTAATGAATGAAAATGGATCGACCGCCTAAAGGACATGGTATAATGGCTTTAGAGTAAATTATCAAGTGGAATGAAGTCTGTTTGACTACTAGATCTAGGGAATGTTTTCAACCATAGGAGTTAAGACGGTGAAAATCAGGATTCCAAACAAATTCACGTCAAGACGATTAAAAGCTAGGGAGCGTCACCAAGAAATTAAAGGAATGAACTCCACCTTGGAGCTATGCAATTGGGGGGGGGGGGCAAGGGAGTAAAGCTCCCAGAAGTGTGAGTTGCTTCAGCAGGTGTCACAAGTCCCCGTGTGCCTTGGTGAACCTTCTCCCTGGGGCGCCCTGGAAATGGGCATTCGTTGTTTCAGGACCCTTCCAGGCTCAACTGCTTCAAGGTGCAGGAATGAATGAACCAGAAAGAGAAAACGGGGAGGAGAGTTTGAAGGAATCAGCTTCGACCTCAAAAGAACACGGACCCACAAATTAAAAGCGGAGCAGTAGCTGCCCAATTTTCCAAACTGCTAGGTCTGGAGATAAGACGGGATGCCCAAAGGCAGGCCCGGGCGTCCAGAGGGAGGCCCGGCAGTGCATCCACGCCCAGGCCTCAGTCTCCCGCCCTGGCCGCTCTCCGGTCGCGCGGCCGGCATTACCTGCAGCTCCGCCCGCAGTCGCTTGTTCTCGGTGTCCAGCTTGGCCTCACGGCGGCCCATGGACAACAGCTCTTGGTTCTTGCTGACCCGGAAGATCTCGTACTCCTTCTTGAGGCGCTCGTACTCGGCCGCCGCGTACTCCAGCTCCG